TGTCAGTAGGTGAAGGCTGAACATCAAAGACCAACCGGGTTATTACAGTCTCTACCGATTCCAGAATGGAAGTGGGAGCATATTACTATAGATTTTGTGAGTAATTTGCCCCGTACGCAGAAAGGACATGAGGAGATTTGGGTAATAGTTGATAGGTTGATGAAGTCTGCTCATTTTCTAGCTATTAAAATGTCCTATGCTNGGTTATTACAGTCTCTACCGATTCCAGAATGGAAGTGGGAGCATATTACTATAGATTTTGTGAGTAATTTGCCCCGTACGCAGAAAGGACATGAGGCGATTTGGGTAATAGTTGATAGGTTGATGAAGTCTGCTCATTTTCTAGCTATTAAAATGTCCTATGCTTTGACAGGCAAGCTAGATTATACATTGATGAGATTGTGAGATTGCATGGTGTACTTGTATCTATGGTCTCTAATAGGGATCCACGTTTTACTTCGAGGTTTTGGCCTAGCTTACTAACTACATTGGCCACTACTTTGAGGTTTAGTATAGCGTTCCACCCATAAATAGATGGACAGACAGAGCGTACTATCCAAACATTGGAGGACATACTGAGAGCTTGTGTCATGGACCTTCAAGGTAACTTGGATAATTATTTGTCTTTGATTGAATTTGCTTATAATAACAATTACCAGAGTTCAATTGAAATGACACCATATGAAGCTTTGTATGGGAGGAAGTGTAGGGCCCTAGTGTGCTGGAGTGAAATGGGTGAAAGGAAGTTATTAGGTCCAGAGATTGTACAGATGACTGTTGATCAGATTAAAGTTATACGGGGAAAGATTACGGAGTGCACAGAGCAGGCAGCAAAGTTATGCTGACAATTGTCGAAGTGACTTGGAATTCGAGGTGGGTGATGGAGTGTTTTTATGGGTATCAACTTGGAAAGGGGTCATTCGTTTTGGTAGCAAAAAAAAGTTGGCTCCTAGGTATATTGGTCCCTGGAGCTGTTGCATATCGATTGAAGTTACCAGTACAGTTGTCCAGGTTGCATGATGTATTCCATGTGTCTATAATACAAAAGTACATGGCTGACCCATCACACATGTTAACTTCAAAACCGATGAAGTTAGCTAAGGATTTGACCTATGTAGAGCAACCAATTCAGATTTTGGGTAAGAAAGAGAAAATATTACACATGAAGACGATATTGTTAGTAAAGGTTTTGTGGCGTAGTCACTCAGTGGAGGAAGCAACTTGGGAGACTGAGGAGAGTATGCGGGCTCAATATCCACATTTGTTTAGTGCAGGTAAGTAATTTCGAGAATGAAATTTTTATTATTAGGGGAGAGTTGTGAGACCCGATCAGGTATTGCATGCATATTAGCATAAATTTGTGGGTTACATTGCAATTATGTGAAATTATTAGAGTAATTAAATTAAAAATCTTTCATAAACATGATGTGTGTAAGCATACACTGGGTATGTGGACCCTGTTAGTTATGTAGTAATGAGACCCATTCATAGGAATTCAAGTGTGAAAAATAGTGGGTTGATTTTAAAATTTTTGAAGAACTTTGGGGGAGGTAAGTGTAATTATCCTCACTAACGTGATTCAGCCTTCTATGTGTCAACATATAAAAAAAAAAGGGCTGAGTCATTATTATGATTAGGTGGTGGTGGTGGTTGTGTATGTTGTGTGTGTGTGTGTATAAAGTGTAAGGTGTGTGTGTGTTTAAGAGATAAAAAAATGTGTATCTATGTCTAGTTGTCTGCTGGAAACTGAGAGTGAGGTGAGCAAGAGAGAAAGGGGAAAAAAGAAAGAGAAAAAGAAAGAAAAAAAAAACATGTGTGTTCTTGATGCCGTGAGCAAGGAGGGAGAGAAAAAGAGTGAAATCAAGTCTTTGCTGGGTATTCTTAGTCCAAACCGAGAGAAGGGAAAAGAAGGTATATGGAATTAAGTTTAATCATGAGTTGTGATTAATTTTAGTAAATACATATTTGTATATGTGTGGGCTATTTTAGCACGTTTTAATTAGTAGGTTGTTTGACTTTAAATACATGAGCTGTTTTATTTTAATGGGCTGTTTTAATTCAAATTTCATGGGTTGATTTAGTTAATGTCAAAAAAAATTTTGTATGGGTGAAATTAAGTATATTTAGCATAATTAATGGGCTGTTTAAAAAATAGGTTTCAAATGGGTATTAAACTAAAGGTTAGAAAAATGTGGAAAATTGTTATTTGAGANAGAGACTTTTGAGTGTCGTGTTTTACTTGAAAATCGTATTCCAAGGTCATCTCCTCAGGGAAGGAGGTGAATCGTGTTGAAAGTGATTTTGGTAAAAATTGAAAAGTGTAAAAATCTTTATTGTTTGAGTTTGGTGGTTTGTTGTTTTTCNCTTTAAATACATGAGCTGTTTTATTTTAATGGGCTGTTTTAATTCAAATTTCATGGGTTGATTTAGTTAATGTCAAAAAAAATTTTGTATGGGTGAAATTAAGTATATTTAGCATAATTAATGGGCTGTTTAAAAAATAGGTTTCAAATGGGTATTAAACTAAAGGTTAGAAAAATGTGGAAAATTGTTATTTGAGATGTTCGGTATGTTTTTCGAGAGCTAGGTTGAAAACGAAAATTATGGCAATGAAATGAATGGTTTAAAGCCCAATTAGGGGCTGTTTTGCATTGATTAAATATGTATGTGAATTTAAATGTGGCGGTTTTAAATAAANTTGCATTGATTAAATATGTATGTGAATTTAAATGTGGCGGTTTTAAATAAAAAGTACGATAGAAGTGGGAAACGGGTGCCAGTAATGCCAAAAACCTGATTTTTAAATGTTATTATCACATGTGTGAATTTTAATCCAAATGACCTGAAATTTTTCATGCAGCATTTTTAAATTATGCTTGATGTGATAATGTGACTTTCGAATGCAAATGAGTGTAATATCCAGTGCGAAATCTATGAAATGCCGGAAGCGCAGTTTTTAGGATTCGGGGTCGAAATGCGTAGAAACGGACCCCCAGTCAATGTGTTTGACCTAATTAATCCTAATTGTGATTAATGTGAGTGATTTTGGGAATTTGGGGAGAAAATTTGATCCCTAAAAAAAATGCTAATGTGTGAGTAAATAGTGTANATGTGAGTGATTTAAGGAATTTGGAAAGGAAATTTGATCCCTAGAACAAAAGCCCTAGTGTATGAGTGAATAGTGCGGTAACCGGAGTTACCGGGGCACTTTGAGGTGCATCATTTGCATGCATTAGTGCATGATTAACTATTAAATGTAATAAACATATTGATTTTGTAATTACAAATGTGTTAGGTGGAATGAGTGAGACAGTTGGTATTGGAACAAATACGGTGACACTAAAAGGAGCCACCGATAGGACTGAAGGGTCATAAATTTGTACATCTGAGATGGGTGTATATCTTTATATGTTTTGAAAATGCTATTATAAGATGATAGTAAATGATAGAATTTAATAACATTTCTCCAGGATTATGTGCTACTTGCCTATGTGATTGAATGATGCTTTGTACTGTGTATTGTGTATTGTGGAATGTGGCGCACTGTTTGAGACAGGGGCGTTAATGCCTAATCACTAGATGTATAGTGTTGTGCTAGCACTACGGTGTTCCCGGGAGGTTCAGGAGACACAGATCCCTGTGGGATCAATTACCCAATGAGGGGTAGTATGAATGTGATGTGGCTTGTGAATTCTTTGGAATTGGATTGATGTTGTTGTTTGATACGTGTATCTATGTAGTGTCTACCTATTTCAGTGTTTTACTATCATTTCCATTTCATATACAAGATGTATACTCACTGAGCGCGTGGTTTAGCTCACACCCCTACAACTTCTTCTTTTTAGGTACTATAAAGGAGGATACAGACCGGTCCACTATTCAATTGATTGAGTCATATACAACATTAGTGTGCTATTACTCAGGTTGAGTGTTAGTATGACTAATTTCTGGGTTTGTGTATTATATTTGTGAGAGATTATTATGGCAGGTAAATAGTATATATTTGTAAATAGACTCAACAAGCATATTTTGTGATGTATGCTATGCGGGTGTGGGATTTTGTAAATGTCTATAACCTGAGAAACAAATGATTGGTACAAGTGTTTTATATATGGTACAGGTTATAAGACAGGTCTTACTATTATGCTTAATAACTAAGGTGATGAGTGGTATTTTTGCACCAGTGGAATGATTTAATGTTTGATTAGTCCAGCTTATAATAATTGTAAACAGGTGTATTAAAAACCTAGTCGCATCTCATCCTTGGGAGACAGGGATGGGGCATTACATAGCCTATCTTTGTTCTGCTCTCAAGTAGGCATCCTATGTCTTCAGCTTAGCAGCTTTCTTGTAGGTCGCCAAAAGCTTGGTCTATCTCTGCTATGCTCTCAAGCAGACATCCTATGTCTCTAGCTTAGCGGCCCTTTCACGGGTCACCAAAAGCTTGGCCTATCTCTGCTCTGCTCTCAAGCAAGCAGCCTATGTCTCTAGTTTAGCAGCTTTCTCGCAAGTCGCCAAAAGCTTGGCCTATCTCTACTCTGCTCTTAAGCAGATAACCTATGTCTCCAGCTTAGCGGCCCTCTCGCGGGTTGTCAAAAGCTTAGCCTATCTCTGTTCTGCTCTCAAGCAGGCAGTCTATGTCTCCAGCTTAGTGGATCTTTTGTGGGTCGCCAAAAGCTTGGCCTATTTATGCTCTACTCTTAAGCAAGTAGCCTATACCTCAAGCTTACCGACTCTCTCACGGGTTGTCAACAACGCGATCTTAAGAGGTGTTGCTCTCTTACAAGCAACCCTCAAACTCTATCTTTACTCTCACACAAGCAACCTCTATTTCTAAATAACCCGATATGTTTGTCTCTCTCTCTAGGTAATCATGTTGGATATTTTGATGTTGGAATAACATTGTTTTTTCATCTCTAGTCAGGCTCTTGAAACTCATGTCATCTGTAACCCGAGGGAGTACATTAGATTGAATGTCAAAAAATGGGGCCCTCATCTTTTTACGGCCCATCCAGCGCAAACAAAACCTGCGTGATCCCAACACTAAGGATTTGGCACCTGCTCTTAGCACCAACCTCATGGCGCCCCCTCATAGCGCCTTGCCTCCTAGCGCCTAGTTCCTGGTGCGGCCCCTCAGGGCGCCTAACTCCCGGCGTCCCTTCCTCTTGCACCTGCGTAGCCCCATGCCTAACATCCACCGTTGCCGCTCCTAGCTCACATAACATCAAAGATCCCGTCAGTGCCGCCTATTCACCAGCGCGCTCACCAAGCCGTGCCCAATGCCTGGTGATGCCGGTGCGTGCTCCTCTAGCATCACTCAACTTGCTGGCACTCATGGTCATGAACTGTATCAAAAAGGAAAATGGGTCATCAATCAAAAGGAGTCTCTGTCAACCATAATTCAAATGCCCTCTTCTCCAAGTTTCATTGGACACAGGGCATTGGGGGGCAAATGATATGCCAGGCCCAAGGGCACAACTCAAGTTATAAGCCCAGTATGAATAAAGGGCCCAACTAAACGAGATCTAGTTGGTCCGGCCCAAAAGAGGTTTGCGCCCAGTCAAGGTCATTAGGGTTCAAGGAGTTACATCACTAAGGAGTAGGCAAGGTCATCCCAAGAGCCTCATCCACGTCGCCTTGGAAAAAGTCAACCACCACGTCATCCTTTGACCTGGTCTTGAGGAGAGCCCCACAACAGCCTCATCCGTTGTGAAGATGGCGCCACCTCCATCAAATTAGCCTTTTAGTTATTGATAAGTTGCCTCAATCTGTTAAGAGGTGACTATAAACTGTAAGCCTCACCTACACATGGGGGCATCTGAGATCTCTCACATCTTGTACCTCACCTAAGCTCTTGTAAAACTCGAGAAAAAAATTATTAAAAATCCTAATTAAAGGGGTAAAATAGTAATTAATTGTTAAAGTACGGGTCAAAAATATGAATTTTTATAAAATTCAGATAACGAAATGGACCTCACTGTTGGATTCATCTCGTGAAATCTAGCTACCCAATAAATTTAAAGTTTTGAGACAGTTGAATTTTTAACATGTTACAAAGCGGTCAGGTGTTACACAATTAAAATAATTGTGATCAGATTTTATTTGCGGGACCTGAAAAATAATTTAAAGTTAGTTCAATAAAAATATATTTAATTTAACACGGGATGAAATTTAATTGATTCGAAATAAAATTTGGACCCGTTTAAACAAAGATGTGTGGCGTAATGTGGGCCACAAAAATTTAGGCTATATATAAGTGAAAGACTTTTGTCTTCCACTTTTATTTTTCTTCTCCAGAGGTCAGCTAGACAGAGAGATAGAAAAAGAGAGAAAGAGAAAAAGAAAGGGAAAAAAAAGTAGACCTCCTGATCTTCTTCCTCAGATCTATGAAGATTAAAACGTTTAATCGCTTCGGGCCAAGAATTAAAATTGCTCTACGCAATGAAAGCTATGCAACCACACCAAAGATCGTATTTTTCTCCAAATGAGAAACTTCCAAAGATGAACAAAATTTTGAACACATGTGAGTGAAATTGAACCAAATGAGGAAACATTACTCTAGGATGCATGAAATTGAATTCTATATTTCTTGAATATGCCTTAGAGTAATGTATTAAAATGATGAATTTTGGATGGAGCTATTATAATGCTAACATGTGTAATTTTCATGATTATGAACTTTGATCATTTATTGTTTTATTTCAAAATTGCATTCAATTTTGATCCAAATTCATCCTTACATGTGCATCTAATTGTGTTTAGATTGTATATACATTATGCATGCATATTGAGGTTTGAGCGATAGGGTGGATGAGTGAGATATCTGGACCGGAGTGGTCCATAGAGGGACAAAGGCTAATCTTTCATCAGGACTAAGAAGTTTCAGAGACTGCTTGATCGAGCTTATCGCCACTCAAGTGACCTTATGTAAAGTCGGCGGCTAGAGTAAAACCGTGTCTTAAGAGACCCATTGTATTCCAAACCCTCTCATTCATGTGCCAAGCCTCCAAAAACCTTAACCCTTGCCTCTAAAGCTCTCCTAGATACATTCTCCATAGATTTAAGGTTGATCCATCGCTTGTATCACAAATCCACATGAGTGAGACCTAAATTCAAACAGTGTTTACTGAGATGGCTTCTAGAAGAGAGAAATGGCCTAGGGCTAAGGATGTTTATGAGGAAGTCGAGGAGAATTTTGATGAAGGCACTCAATTCCAAACACCGGAGTTCATAGAGAGATTCAAAAGGGAATTTTCATTCAAGCCAGTGTTGATCAAGCAGGGAATCAACACCACAGAAGTAAATCGTTCTATTTTTACCAATCTCACCAATCGTAGGTGGACTTGAATGTTTAATGAACCCATGAAATCAGATGATAACATTGTGAGGGAGTTCTATGCCCATATTTGTGATCCCGATCCTCGTGATGACCATTCATCACATACATTAGAGATATTGAGTTTATGTTTACTATAGATCTCATTGCTACCATACTTAGCCTACCTAGGGTAGATGATGATTACCTTAGTGCGAGACTTGTAGATTGATTGCCTCTTCTCCATGTAGTTGCTATTGAGTTGTATGGTATAGACCATCCTGAACACTGGGTCACATTAAAATTCTTTCAAAAATTTTTGACCTCAGAGTATAGAATGCTTAATCTCATAGTCAACTACAACATAGAGCCAAATACTCATGTCTCAAATTTCATTGTTCAGAAAGTCCATGTGCTTTATGTCATAGGAAAAGGGTTTAGCCTTGATTTGCCATTGATAATTTTTAGGTATATTTAGAGAGTATTTTTAGAGGGAAGAGTATCTCATTTGTATCACTGATTACTTGTATCTACCAAGGGAAAGCTATTGTAGTTTTACTTCTTGACCAGTTGTAGAATTCCATGAGGCCTTTGAATAAGAGCTCTATGAAGTTGAATAAGCCCCAAGCTAACTATGTTGAGGAGAGAGACAAAGTTGTTGGAGATTCACCAGTGACTAGTACATCTAAAACACCACCACCACCATGATGTGAGCCCAGTTTAGACATCCTTGCTGCCCATTTAGCATCATTGGTAGATATTGATTGGTACTTAAATCTAGCATATTACTATGCCTTTTTAGGACTAATTGTACTTTAATGGAGTTTAAGTGATGACATTTAAGGTCCTAAAGTGAACAAAGGCTCAAGAACAACAAATATCACACTTGAGTGTAACACCAGTGCATTAGGGAACAAAATTGGAGAAGGTTGGAACAAAGCAAGAACGTTCGAACACCAACTCACATTTGAACAACCACTTGAACTATTAGAAGACTAGACTGCTGAGACATGGCATGTTGCAGTAAAGAAGGAAGTCCCTGAAGTACTTGAGCACCACGTTAGAATGTCAACTCACGTTCGAACGTCCACTTGATTTGATTGAAGACTAGAGTGATGAGTGCAAAGATCCAATATGTGCATGATGTGTAGAAATGAGTTTCCACAAAAGACCACAGGTCACTCAAGTGAGGAGGTCAAAGCCCATTTGGCATTCGAACACCCGCAAATCAAAAACAACAAAACCGTTCGAACGCCAACTCAAGTTCGAACGTTCTCCTGACTGCATAGTGGCTGGCTTTCACAAATTCAAAACATTGGGAATAATGTTTAGTTTAGGTTGGTGGTGAGAACAATTCATATTTTGTGGCCGTAAATTTTTTTATTTTTGTTGTTGTTGTTGTTGTTTCTGATCATATTGTGTACCTTACCTTGAATTTTGTATAAGATAATGATTATGTCTATGAGTCAACTTTGATCATCTTTGTGACTAGCAGACGTTAAAGAACCAGATAGTGAGTCTTAAAAAGTAAAAAGCATGGATGTTAAACTTTTTTTGTTTAGTCTAGGAGTTTTGCACACTTTTCCATCTGATGTGCATACCGTGATCATGAGAAAATAAGACTAGTAAGAAAGAATGAGATCCAAGAAGAGCAAAAGAAACCCCTCTATGGTAGAAGCACTTTTGCTAAACGCCGTCGGGCCAAAAGACTTGGTGCCTGTAAATAGTGCGGCAGAGTCTTTCACGAGAAAAGATATAATCAGTGTTCTGAACCAATTTTCGGTCGCGCTCTCGATCAATTAGATTGGATAGTAAATGGACTGAGTAAGGATTACCCTGAGACGCCATGCTATTCCAGTACTTTGCTTAACCAGTTTGTGAGAGAGGAAGTTGGGAGTCACTGGTTGTTCAAACTACACAGATATAGAGGGAAACTCAGATTATAGTAGGTGGGATGAAAGTCAAGGGTCTAAATTTTTGTAAAAAGTGTAAAAATCCTTTTTATTTTGTACAAACTCTTTTGACTGAAATGAAAATATAGGCCAAGTAAGAAGTGTCCCAAAATACCAACCTGAAGCGTGGGTAAGGACTTATCCTGAGATGCCATGGAATTTTTTTTTGTTCAAACTTGTGTGTTTTGTCCTCTTTTATTGTGTATAGTGTAGTGCAGAAAAATTATGATTTTTGATTCAACGTTCGAACGCCAAGTGACGTTCGAACATTAGTCGCTTGTAGTACTCAACCTCTAATGAAGTCTCTGATGGAAACAAAAGTACTGGAAGCCCAGCTCATTCAAACGCCAATAGCACGTTCGAACGATGGTAACGTTCGAATGCCAATAGAATGTTTGAACGAGATTAACTTACAGTACTTTGGTCTCTAACAAAACTCAAAAGTACTGGGAGCTCACTACGTTCGAACGACACCCACGTTTGAATGATACCCACATTCGAATGATATTTTAAAAATTCTTCTACATATGTTCAAACGTCATGAACATTTAAATGATCCTTCTTAGGCTATAAAAGCCTGGATCATCTTCCCTATTTCAAAAACCCCAAAACCCTTGAAAAAACTCCAAACCCTAGAACCTATTCTTGATACCCAGCCCCCAAAACACCACCTATCCTTCAATTTTACCCAAAATTGACCACCCCAAATCTATTCCCACATCAAAAATCCCCATTTTCACTAGAAAATCAAGAGTTTCAAATCCATTCTAAGCTCAAAATTGAAACCATGCCTCCAAGGGTCAAACTCCCTGCTAGGCATAACCCCATCAATCAAGAGCCAAATTTTGTGGCAGAAGTGATTAAGGTAAGAGAGGGGAGGACACCCATTGTCCATAGGTATGATAGAACTCGGTTCCCTTCAGCTCTCAAGGCAGACAGGTTTGAAAACTACTACCAAACTCATACAATCATTTGTGAATGAGATGTAATTTTGAGTGATTTTGTTGAATTGGGCATCTTTGCGAACATGGAGAGAAGAAATTAGGGGTTGTATTTGCGGAATGGCGGGGAAGTC